TAAACAACGTGTACCCCGTAAGTATTAAGCCTAATCTCGAAGTGGTAGAGACGAGATGGCCGACTTTGACACTCACTGTGGGTCAATAATAACTGAAATAAAACTAGGATATCTAAATCAGCATAAATTACAGAATTTATTTAATCAGCAGAAATAATCAAATTCCTTCAAATGTAACAATTCTCAATATATTAATTAAATTCCTTCAATTCAAATAATTTCCAATTTATCAATTAAATCTCATTCACAAGAGTAACAATTAATTCCTTAACAAGCAAGAATAATAATTCATTAAATTCTAAAGATTTTTCTATTTATTAATTAGCTTCACAAGCTGAAATAAATTATTAAAGTATCGTGTAATTATTATTATTAAGCACGATTTCTGTCGAGGACGTACGGCCCGATCCAGAGTGTCGTGTACACTGCCGAGGGACGTGCGACGCGATCCATAGATGCATCTATCCTGCCGAAGCGTTCGGCCCGCTCCACAAGAAAGGAGGACATTTTCTTATGTGCCTCCGAAAGAAGAGTATATTTATTATAAGATAAAATTTGGGAGGAGAACAATTTCTTTTAACAATTAATTGATTTAAACAAAAATTAAGCATATGAAAATTTCATATTTTTTTACTTTTCATGACAATTCACAATATATACATCAATTATTTTAATTAATAAAGAATACAATTCACATAAGTAATTCATGCTTTGAGTCATAAACTACCCGGACTTTAGCATTAATAGTAGCTACGCACGGACTCTCATCACCTCGTGTGTACGTAGCCCCCGCAATTAGCAATAATTATTTAATTTTAATCACCTATGAGGTAATTTTCCCTCACAAGATTATACAAGAGACTTACCTCGTCTTGCTCTAATTTAATCCAATATAAGGCCTTTTCCACGATTATCCAACTCCATCTGGCTTGAATCTAGCAAAAATAATTCGATACAATCACCAAATATTATAGGAATCAATTCTATAAGAAAATACCACATTTTAAAGAAAAGATCCCGAAATTAATTAAAAATTCGCCCGCGGGGCCCACATCTCAGAATTTGGCGAAAGTTATGAAATCCGATAACCCATTCAATTACGAGTCCAACCATATCAGTTTCACTCAAATCTGACTCCGAATCGATACCGAAATCTCAAAAATTCGTTTCTATGAGATTTCTAAAAATTTCCCAAATTTAAATCTCAACACACTAATTTATGGTGAAAACAATGCTATACTTGTATATGTAGACCAAATCCGAGTTAGAATCACTTACCCCAATATTTTTCCCTTGAAAATCTGTCAAAAGTCGCCTCTGCTCAAGCTCAAGTTCGTCAAAAATGGCAAATGGGACGAATGCCCTCTTTTTATAAAACTGCCCAGCAGCCTTCGGAACTGGTCCTCGAACTGGGCCTCGATCGCGGCTTCGATCACAGGCTCGAGCCTGGACCACGGTCATGGCCTCGATCAGGGCATCGAGGTTGGGCCTTCGATCAGAACATCGAGGCTGGGCCTTCTATTAGGGCATCGAGCATGTGCCTTCGATCAGGACATCGAGGCTGGGCCTTCGATCAGGGCATTGAGCATGTGCCTTCGATCAGGGCATCGAGCATGGGCCTTCGATCAAGGAATCGAGGTTGGGCCTTCGATCAGGGCATCGAGCATGTGCCTTCGATCAGGACATCGAGGCTGGGCCTTCGATCAGGGCATCGAGCATGGGTCTCGAGATGGACCTTCGATCGTGGCTTTGATCTCAAGCTCGAGCCTGACCCTTGTCAACCCTGGGCTCAATACCTGGGCTCGATATCAACACCGAATATCCAACAAAAGAGGAAACACTGCAGCAACTTTTAAGTCTAATTTTTGATCCGTTAACCATCCGAAACTCACCCGAGGCCCTCGGGACCTCAACCAAATATACCAACAAGTCCTAAAGCATCATACAAACTTAGTCAAACCTCTAAATCACATCAAACAACGCTAAAACCATGAATCATACCCCAATTCAAGCCTAATGAAACTAAGAGTTTTCAACTTCTACATTAGATGTCGGAACCTATCAAATCAACTTCGATTGACCTCAAATTTTACACACAAGTCATAAATTATATAGCGGAGCTATAAAAATTTCCGGAACTGGATTCCGACTCCGGTATCAAAAAGTTAACTCATCGATCAAACTTCCAAACTTAAATTCTTATTTTTAGCCATTTCATGCCTAATTTAACTACGGACTTCCAAATAAAATTCTGAACACGCTTCTAAGACCAAAATCACCATACGGAGCTGTTGGAATCATCAAAATTCTATTTCGGGGTCGTTTTCACATAATTAGACATTCGGTATCTATTCGAACTTAAACATTTTAATTTTTCTTCAAAATTCCATATCTCGAGCTAGGGACCTCGGAATTTGATTCCGGGCATACGCCCAAGTCTCAAATCACGATACGGACCTACCGGAACTGTCAAAATACTGATCCGAGTCCGTTTGCTCAAAATGTTGACCAAAGTCAACTCAATTGAGTTTTAAAGCTCTAATCCACATTTTAAATCCATTTTTCACATAAAGACTTTTCATGAAATTTTACGGATTGAGCACGCAAGTCGAGGAATGATAAATAGTAATTTTTGAGATCTTAAAACACATAATTAATTATTAAATTTAAAGATGACATTTTGGGTCATCACAGATTGACTTATTAGTTGGCTTGCCTAGCTGTAGTGTTGGGCGTCATCACGACCTATAGGTGAAATTGGGTCGTGACAGTAACAACTGAGCCCAGTATGCTTGGATGCCAAATATCACACTTTGTACTAGCTGCATTCTTCCTGCATAGGATAGTTTCTTAGTTGTCTATGAAGATATCCTTGCCACTATCTTTTGTATAAGAGGTTGCCACTGGATCATTGAGATCTTTTTAGTTGATAATGGTATGCCTAAGTATTTGAAAGGCATCTCCCCTTGTCCATATCCCAGATGTTTTAGAATTTTGTTCCTTTCAGCACTAGAAACCTCTCCAAAATACACAGAACTCTTTCCCAGATTGGCTTGCAACCCTGATGCTTGTGAAAATTGATTAAAGCATCTATGCATGGAAGCCACTGATGTTAAATCAACTCTTGCAAATAGCAGTAGATCATCAGCAAAGCTTAAGTGTGTGATGCCCATCCTAGCATACTTTGGATGATATTTGAAGTCTTTATCTTCCTTCAATCCATTGAGACTTCTGCTTAGATACTCCATTACAATAGAAAATATAAAAGGGAATATAGGATCCACTTGTCTAAGTCCCTTTTTTGCATCAAATGGAATAGTGGTCTCTCCATTGATCAATATGGTATAGTTGACTGTTTTGACACATTCCAAAATCCAGCTAATAAATTGTGTAGGGAATCACAAATTATCCATTACCTGTTCCAAAAAAATCTACTCTACTGAGTCATAGGCCTTTTGTAGATCAATCTTAATCATACACCTATCAGAGGTATGCTTCCTTGTATAAGACTTTACCAATTCATGGGCCAGGATAATGTTATCTGCAATTCTTCTCCCATGGATGAAACCTTCCTAGTTTTCACTAATGATGGATGCAATAATCTTCTGCAATCTTGTTACTAGCACCTTAGAGATGAGCTTATAGAGTAAAGTGTAGCAAGCAATAGGTCTAAAGTCCTTCACAGTGACAGGTTTATCAACTTTTGGTATCAGTGTAATAGTAGTACAGTTTATTGCCTTATACATTCTACCAGTGGTGAAAAATTCTTTAACTGCTTCACAGACCTCCTCCTTGATAATTTGCTAAGCTTTCTTGAAAAAATAGGTATTGAAACCATCCACTCCTGGTGCCTTGTCATCTCCAATACTCTGTAATCCTTCAAATATCTCTTGCTCAGTGACTTCTGCACATAGCTGAATTCTTTGTTGTTGGGAGAGTGTAGGCCCTTGCTTCATGATCTCCCTATTGATGGCAGGTAGAGTTTGGGCAGCAGATCCCATCAGGGATTTATAGAATTTCATGATTTCATATTTGATCTTCTCAACATCATTTAAATTCTGTCCATCTAGAGATATGAGTTCTTTAATCTGTTTCTTCTGATTCCTTTCCTTTAGTATAGCAGAAAAATACTTGGTATTTGAATCCCCAAGTTTAATCCACTTAGCTCTTGACATTTTCTTTAGGACACTTTCCTCTATAAGGGGCCATTTCTCCAACTGATGAAGAACGGCTTTCTCCTGATCCAGTAGATAATCATTATACTGTGTTACAATCTTCTCCTGAATATATTGAAATTCCACTCGAGCCTTGTCAATCTTGACAGTAATTGTTCTGAATTCCTCATTGTTTAAAGCCTTGAGTCTAGGCTTTAAAGCTTTCAACTTCAGCCAAATACTTTTCATTCTCCAATTTGTTACATTTTGATCCCATACTTCTTGCACTAATTATAGAAAACTATCATGATCTGCCCAGACATTTAGGAATCTGAAAGGAATTTTACCAGGCCTAGTAATTGTGGAGATTGATAGTAGCATAGGTGAGTAATCAGACATTTGGGGTAGATCATATTCAGTCTGCACGTGCCCTCATTGCGTCATCCATTCAAAATTTCCAAAGACTCTATCAATTCTGCTACTGATTCTATTTGGTCCATACTGTTTGTTTGACCAAGTGTAATAATCTCCCTTCCATATCAGTTCATTCAGTTGCAGAGCTTGAATGCAGTTGGAGAAATCTTGAGTTTCTGCATATGTTATAGGATTGCCCATCACTCTATCTTGAGGATATAACACTGCATTGAAATCTCCACAAATTATCCAAGGTGTGGGTATGTTTGCAGCCAAACTAGCATGTCTGCCCAGAGTGATCTCCTTTGTTCAACTGTATTATATCCATAGACTACAGTCACTAAGCAGTCTATTTTCCCTAAGTTATCTTTTAGCTGGCAATGTAAGAGCTGTGCACCAGCTTTTATTAAACTCATAGTATATCACCTTGGATCCCATACCACCCACAACCTACCATTCTGAGCATACTGGTAATTGATAAACACTTCCCATTCAGATACAATAGCTTTGATCACTCTCTTGAAATTATGCTCTTTCACTCTAGTTTCCATCAAGCCAGCTAACTTAATATTTTTATTTCTGATGTAGTTATGCAACTCTTTTTGCTTATACCTCTTATTGACTCCCCTTACATTCCAGAATAGCCAGTTAATCAGCATATTAAATTGCCTCTTCCCTTATCAAGGGGTAATTGCTGCAAATCTCCAGTTCCACATGGTAGTACCTCAAAAGGATTCTTCACTCTAATTGCAGATAGCACAGAAAAATTTGTTAAGTTAAACTCAGGACTGCTTTTCACTTGTTTTCCTCGACGGCATTCTTTGGGCATAACCTCAATTGGACTATTGTTGTTTTGCCTTTGGCTAATTGCTGGTCAACTACTTGGAGAAGCAGAGTGTGACATATGTTGTTCAACTGGTGCTTGTTGCTGACCCTACTGCTCAACTGGTGTATGTTGTACAGGCATGGCATCAAACTTCTGAACCTGACCTTTGGTTCTCCATTCCATGGTCACTTTCTTAGGTTCCCTTATTTTCCCATTCTGCTTGAACTGTTGCTTAGGTTCCTGCTTATTTGTGCCTCTACAAGGAGCACATGTGTGGCCAATCTTTTGACATTGATCACAAAACTCAGGTTTTCACTTATAATAAACTCCCTACAGAAATTGTCTACCCTTTGGATCCATAACACAGATCTCATCTGGTAGTGGTTTATCACATTAACCTCTATCAACATTCTGGTAAAGGACACTCTGGTTTTCTTAGTTGTACATTCATCAGCAAATATAGGAGTCCCAATATCACTAGCTATTCTACTCAGAGAATCAACTCCCCAACAGTTCATAGGTAATTTTGGAAATTTAACTCACAGGGGAATTTCAGTGGGAAATTCCTCATTAAAATCAAAATCTAAGGTCCAAGGCTTCAAAATCATAGGCCTATTATTAATGGAATAAGGTCCAGCATAATAGATCTCTTGCATGTCAGCCTCCGTATGAAATCTGATAATGTAGTATCCTTCCCCGTGCAAAAACACATCTGGTTCTCTAACATTTACCCAATTAACACTGATATATTATTTCATAGTGTTATATCCCAGAGTCTTTCCCAAAATATATACAATTAGAGTACATTTCCACTTCTCAGTCTCAGATTCAACCTCGTCTTTGTCCAATTATACAACTATTTGGCGATTGACGATTTGTGGAGGAATATAAGACAAAGACATACCATTTGCTGCAGATCTGTTCTTCTGAAATAGATTAGACCATGGTTTAGGATCTATATCTTTTGTAGCCAGTGCAGGATTTGTTGAATCTCTATCTTCCTCAGCAGCTATTACTGTTTCATTAGTTACTGTTGCATGCACTGATTGTTCCTTTGTTGCATTCTCTAATTGTGGACGAGTTGTAGCCGATGGAGGTGTTGTTAGGTCTAGCTTTTTCGAGACTCCTGAGCTAGACGCACCTCATATGTTCCTTCATCGAGCCCTAGTATCAGATTCTAGATCTAGATCTGGTGTTTGTATAGTTTTCTCTTTACTATCCCCTTTCGCTTGACTTCGTGAGCTGGCAGAGCTTCCTACATTAGTGATTACAACTTTTTTGGGCCTTCCACGTCCTCTTCCCCTCCCTCTCGCCATGGATGAGCAAGTTCAACGCATGTTAACTAACGTGAGCTGAGAGCATGTAGAGAGAGAGAGAGCTAACTATACTTTTATTTATGCAAAAAAGTTGCAATTGGCTAAGATGATTATTATAATACAATGGCATCTTTAATAGGAATAACTGGCTTATTCTTTTCCTACATAGAGTCATGCAATAAATCTGAATCTTACACAAACTGGAGAATTAAATAAGAAAGCATATTGTTTTGTTGTGAAAAACGGAATAAGCTAGGAGGAAAAAGTAGGCGGTAGAGACCAAACCAAGAATTTAACCAAAATCGGCATATTGTTGTCCAACAAATAGTAGGTTAGCAAGAAGAAGTATGCAGCCAGAAGTAGAGTCCAAAAAAAGAATTTGACCAAAGTCGGCTATGTAGCCTTAGTGTATGCCTAGTTTAAATGAAAAGAAAAATCAGCGATTTACAATTATATTCTTAAATTATACAAATATTTAAGATTATAAAAGTCGATCAATATTTCGAGATTATTTTAGTCATTCAACATTTAGCATAAATTATTCGTGCTTTTATAATAACTAGTCTTCGGATATGCGCATTGCGCGTGTACCCCATCTCAATGAGTAATGTTTTAAAAATCAACAAAACTATTTTGTTCAAAAACAACTTAAGTTATAAAATAAAAGTTTAAGCTCTAAATTTGATGAATATTAATCTTATATAATTAATTCAATAAAAGAATTTTTTTTCCATAGAGTTAAAGCTCCTGAAAATAATGAAGTGATTTATTTGTTTATATTAAAAATTAGTTCCCTAGAGTTCAAACTCCTCAAAACCGTGGACTTCATGTTCAAGATTCTCTTTCACCTTATATATGCAACAGATTTCAACTTTTTCTTTTTTGTGCTATACAATAAATTATATTTTCACATATGTAAAAGTCCATCAACTCTAATCATATTCCCATCAGAATTTTACTTCTTTCTCAGTAACTTACTTCTTCTACTGCAATTCTTTTTTGTTTTTTTTTGTTTTTTGGTAATACAACAAATTGTTCACGTTATAATCCCACAAGTAAAAGAGATCTCTCCTAATTTATATGACATTTATCGCTTTTTGAGATTCAAACTGGACATAAAATCTTTTGGATTTTTGAAATAAAATTTATATATTTGAAAACTACGTAAAAAGCACTATAACTCATGATAATTAATAATTCAAAATGTTTAAAAGGTATATGAAAAAATTACAGTAAAAATATAATTTGTTTGACTCTCGATATCCGAATACCTTCACATAAATTGTTTGACTAATCAAAAGGCAGTTTATATCTCTTCACTATTAAAGTTCCAGGAGTTGAAACAAATTGATTGCGTCTCTCTATGTGCGTCCTAGCGAAGTATAATTATTGTTGTAATTCATAAATTACTTTCTCCGTAATTTTGTAGCTTTAGGAGAAAGACTTGTGACTTCAGTTATGCTTTATAATGGCCTAGATACATGCATATATACACGTTTGATTTTCCAACTACATAGTTCTAATAAGGAAGTAATTTTATAAGGTTAAAATCTTAATCAACTTTAAAGTCCTAAATATTAGGATTTATGTCACGATCCCAACTTCCCTCCGTAGTAGGTCGTAATGGCGCCTAGTCTCTAAAACTAGGTAAGCCTATCAATGCGGAATAATAATAGATATCTAAAATAAATAAACTACAATTCAAACAATTACAACTCCCAAAACCCGGTAGAAATAAGTCGCAAGCTTCTAAGAATTTATCCACAATGTCTCTATACATATCAAGGTCTAAAGAAAATAAGGAAGCAACATTATAATAATAAAAGGGGACTACGGAGTCTGCGGACGCTGGCAGATATACCTCTAAGTCTCTGTACACCGGTAACTCACTGATGTCTGGGCTGGTAAGATGTACCTGGATCTGCACAAAAAGATATGCAGAAGCATAGTATGAGTATACCACAGCGGTACCCACTAAATGCAAAGTCTAACCTCAGTAGAGTAGGGACGAGGTCAGGTCAGGCCCTATTGAAAAAATAAATAATGGCATGAAAAAATGTTTAACAATATAATAAGATAAAATGACAATGAAAATGAGACAAGTAGTATGTCACCATTTAATTACAAAAAATAAAAGAAATTAATACATCGCGGAAACAAAATAAAATTCTTTTCAACTTTAAGAAAATTACAACAATAATCAAAGGCAACTGCAGCCATAAATCAATATCAACAAGGGCACTCCCGAGGTACCGCCTCGTAGTCCCAAATCATAAATAAATTCACAACATTTCATTTCCTTATATCACCGTGGGAGCCTTCACAATTTATTTAAAGAAAATATTTTTCCCGAAATAGCATTCCGCATTTTAGCCACCCTTATCACACCGCATGACTTCTAGTAGTCTCCCCTACTAGCCACGCATATCAAGCCACCCTTATCTCACCGCATTCGTTTCAATACCCAGACCTTATACCACCTCATGCGTATCAATATCATAATATATCATAATTTGCACCTCAAGTGCCCAAATATTTTAATTTGCCAAAATAAATCAACAACAATATTTTTTTCCATAATAAAGAGCTCATGGTTCATACCAAAATAATTCAACAATAATATTTTTCTATAATAAAGAACTCACGGCTCATGCCAAAATAATTCAACAATAATAGTTTTTCCATAATAAAGA